CACGTTATCGACCACATTTTTAGTGCTCGCGCTTCCGTAAACGATTTTGCTTTGTTTAATTGAAGCTGACTTTTGCGAATTCCTTGAATTATCAATTAATGCCGAGGTTAACAGAAAGTCGGTCATGGGAATTAAAATTCTAGTGTTTTATTGCTTCGTGAGACTTCGCTCTCCTCTACTTTAAATTCTACAAATAAAGTCCCCCTTTCTGCGGTTACTTTACAGTATCCCATGCTCTCGTACTTCAGAGGGAGGCTTGCTGCCTTGTGACTAGATTTATTCAAGGGCTGTGGCAGTTGCAAGCATTCTCTTGCTCATAGTCTGAGGATCGGATAAGAATTCTGAAAATAAAATAACGAATTAAAATCACGGAGAAGTATTACCAAATACCGGAGTAGGTTTATGCCAACATGTCTGTCTGCCATTCAAAATGTTGCCAATTTATGTTCACTTTTTATTTTCTGCTTCTGCAATTTTCACGGAGAGGTTATGCGAAATACACTCACAACAATGCTGAGATATTTGCAAAACTCCAGACCGCAGGTGTCTGCGATGGGGAAGGAACGCTCTATTACCCTTTCCTGAGGCTAACGCGTTCATCACCACACCATGCGGGCCCTTCGATTCACCTGTCTCTCAGCTAATTCTATTGGTTAGTGCAACCATCTCCTTGATGGGTGAATGCTGATGGCAGTGGTTGGTAGAATTAACTGTGAGACAAGCGAAACGAAGGATCCGGTTGTGGTGATGAACACGTCAGCCTCCGGAAAGAGTAACAGCGCGTTCGTTCCTCACCGCAGACAACTGCGGTCCGGAGTTTTGCAAACATCTCAGCATCTTTCTACTTCTGTTCAGCAAAGACGAGGTGTTATTTTATTTCTTTATTTACGTACAAGCTGACGTTTCGGCGGATTTCGCCCCCTCAGGGTCGGGAGAGGTCAACTTGACAGCAATCTATTCGCCCAAGCACCTCCATGAGTAAACAAAGAAAACGCTAAACCAAGGTTTCAATCACATTGAACACAGCTTTGCACACTCACCGCTTTCTATGAGTCTTCCACTGAGTGTGTCGCTTGAAGACCAACCGCACAGAATTCATATGGAAGCGTAATTTGCTCCTACCATCAGAATAACAGGTTTATATACTGTCCAATATCACGCGTAATAATGAGGCATTCTTCCCTATGGTTCATTTTCGGATTTCTGGAATTAATCCAGAATGCCTCTAGAGTTTTGCGCGCTTGCGTACTCGATTCATGTGCAATAGTCGTGACCCGTACTTCAAAGTTCTCCCCGTTATGTCTCTGGGTCCTATGCATTCCTAGCGTGGTATTTGGTCTATGTTTGCCGACTAAGTGCTCTTTTATGCGGACACAGAGAGGCCTGCCCGTTTCGCCAATGTATTCGTCTCCGCACGCCATACAGGAGACCAGAGAAACTGTACCATAGAGAAACCATAGCCCAGATAAACCCAGATATAATTATACCCAGATAAAGTATATCTCAGCATCGTTATGGTTGTCAACTTATTTACGAAGCTCGATTTTGTTTGATTCAAAAACGTTGTAGGGAAACGTTCGTCTTAAAATGCCAGGGACACAGTCACCATAAAATCTATAGTCATCGACAATCCTAAAAATAAAAAAGGTGACCCGATTCTGACCTCACTCAGCGAACTTTCTCAGTGGGTTTCACAGAACTGCTGGTTCGCGGTCGTTTTCGTAAAACCGCACTCTTTTCAAATATATTCTCGTATGCGATAAGAAGCTGATTTTACTACACCGCATTCATTCTTCGGAGTAGAATGATGGTAATGGCTCCCAGAGTGATAATATTGGCTGTTTCAATTATTTGTTTGCAACGACACCACAGAGAGACATTAAATTCGGATCAGATCATTTATACATTTAGTTATTAGCCTACGAAACAATGTTATTTATTAGGTAGGTGATAGCTTTATGGAAAAAAGCCGGCCGCCATTGACCTTGTTAGTCAGCCCTGTGAAGGGTTATCGGCTCTCTTTTCTTCAAGCAACTCCTCTGCCCTTTCTCAATAGACATGAATCAGCCGCATTTCACCTCCTATCTCGCTCATAGCCGTTTCTTTCTTCCTCTTTTCCAGTCTATTTCTCTGTCGACACGTTTTGCTGTTCTTTAGGTATTGGGCTCCGGCTCAATGGAGCGTGAATTTGGTCTATGAGTGCAAGGCCGATGGTAGGATAGAAGACTTTTATCTGATGAATAAAATCGTCGATGTAGGCTGCTTTGTGTTTATTTCTGTTCATGTATACATTGTTTCTTGTTCAAAGTCCGATAGTCTTATAATTTCCGTAACACTTTGAAGGAAACTATAAATGACGACGTTACCCTATTATATCTATCCATGCCGTGTTTCACGAAGCATATCTATCAAATAGGAGACCATGCTAAATCCATCTAAAACTATAATCGTTAATTACACTGTTGACTTTCTATGTAAACACTTTCACAGCAAGGTTTATGTGAAATACAACCACGCTAAGATGTTTGCAAAACTCCTGACTGCAGGCCCCTCTGGTGGGGATCGAGCACGCTATTACCCTTTCCGGAGGCTAACTCGTTCACCACCACACCATGTGGGTTCTTCGTTTCGACTTTCTCGCAGGTAGTTTTCTATGTACAACCGCCATCAGCAGTCATCCATCAACGGGATTGATCTGAGGGGCACAGCTCGCTATTGAATCCAGTAAGGGTGAAGATGTAGTCGAAATCACAGTGTTAACTTTTTTTATTTACTGCCTACTACAATTCTTCACGGCAGGATATTATGTGAAAGGCACCTCCGGAAAGCGTAATAGTGTGTTTGATCCCCACCGCAGACAGCTGTGCTTCAGAGTTTTGTAAAAATCTCAGCATCATAGTGGTTACAGTCACTTTTTTTGCGAGAAAGTCCTTCAAATTCCACCTTTTTTGCTTCAAAATCTAGTCTTTACATTTTCCCCATACAATTCGTTTGTGTAATCTATTGGTATTCTAAATGTTTTTTCTTGCCGGCATCCTCAAGCACCATCGCGTGTTGGAATTTTTTCCTCACTGAATGCTGGCTGTATTCCAGGAAATCAGCAAATTCCGACATGGTCTTGCCGCCCTGCTGAAATACGACTGGGTACCGGTGCCACTTGTTTATCCTCAAGTACGTATGAGACTGTGAGAGTTTCTGAGTGGTTGTTTTCTCCCACGTTAATCCGCCTTCACCCTTTACATAATAAAACATCGTATTTTTAGATTGTTTAGGTTATTTTTCTTGCTGTTCGTGTTTATTTTGTGATCTGCTTATTTGGAAGGCAATTCATTGTAACGGGAGGTAATCCTAGTGGGGTACGTTTTATAACATTACTATGGAATACCTGTGTTGCTCCTATTGAATTAAAAAGTCTGTATGTACTCTTTCTTTGATGAGATTACACGAGGTTGATAAATATATTTATTTCGGCTAACGTTTCGACGTCTTTGCCTTTATCAGAGCCGATGATCCGAGTCGATGGTCCACGCTTGCTATTCGTTATCACTATATCCACCATCAGCATCCTGCATAAAAAGGCATCACCGAGTGGGTATACCTCATTTGAGGAGTTGGACCGCTGAGGAAGACTTGATTCGATAAGAACAAACATGGACGTTGACTCGGATCATTGGCTCTGATGAAGACGAAGATGTCGAAACGTTCGCCGAAAATAAATATACTTATCAACCTCGTGTAAGCTCACCAAAGAAAGAGTACATATTGATTAATCACACCGTGATTAAAGAAAAGTCGGTTTCGAAATAAAAAGTCTGTGTTTCTTGAAAGATTCATTTCCACGCCGTTCTTTTAGTCTACCAAGATTCTTATGTGGGCGATCGACAAGAGAATCTTAATCTTTCCAATTTGGAAAAAATGAATATAGAGTAATCTAAAGAATTTATGGTAAGAAGGTAAACAGAAAACTCTTGTGTTCATTCACCCAGCTCACTAAACACTGATGAGCCGCAATTCTATGGATCTGCAGCCCGCTAATTTTTTGTCGAGTGCATTTGCAGAGTACTGTTGATGTGGTCCTAGTTTGACGATTTCCAGATCGATCTCTGGCTTCCGATCACCACTATGGTTCAATTTATTGTTTATATGGGATGGATGAAAGTGAGCTTTTATTAAAGACTTGTTTCCATTTGCTTTGCTTTCTGCATTATTTATGCTGAGATTTAAAGAACCTTTAATCCTACGCTATCCCGAGCAATTCTGGGTCCATCATTTTATTTACAAGCGCCAAATTGTGTTAAAGGATCAAATTGGGGTTGCTCGTTTTCTGATAAATTCTATGAGAACCTCTTCTGGGTAGACTTCGGTGTTTAATTTGGCATTTACATTGATGAAAAACCTTCCGAGCTTCTCTCTTGCAGTAATCGTTTTTCACACCATCACTGTTCTGGGGAAAATCCTCTGACTTTATAACGATTTTTCTTCTTCGAGGCAGGTTCAGCACTACATCGATTTGCCAGCACTCCTTTAAAAATTTTTCGGCTTCAAAGATTTAAACGATTTGAAACATAAAAACATTATTTCTTCAACACATCCTCCATACAAAGCACCTTAGAAGGTTGTTAGCGACTCCTTGTATTTACTTGGTTAGTAATTTCTTGTCAACTCAGGTAATAATTGTTGAGCAGAAAATGGCTTCTCTTTGACTAGGGAAGTGATCTTGGTATTGTAAGTGTTTTAGCAATGCTACTGAGGATAATACCGCTTTTTGTGCTAAATGTCTTCTTTATAGCCACAGTAATGCTGAGATATTTGCAAAACTCCGGCCCGCAGGTGTCTACGGTGGGGAACGAACGCGCTATTACCCTTTCCTGAGGCTAACGCGTTTATCACCACACCATGCGGGCCCTTCGATTCACCTGTCTCTGCACAGAAATCACGTGGAAGTATAATGTGCCCCTCACATCAGAAAAGCAGTTTTATATACTGCCCTATATCACGCGTG